ATTCACAGTGTTACCAAATAGTAAAAATGTGATACTACAACTTGTTATTTGAGTTAATCTCAATCTTCGTATCTCTATAGATTAAAAAAAACTACTAAGTATCATTCACTTATTCAAGAATTATGAGGGTCAACAATGTTAACTAAAGATTTTAACACATAATATAATTTGGGTAAGATCTGTTAGACGAGTCCCCGGGCATTGGGCGTGCTTAGGACATACAGTCGAGTGCTTAGGGCGTAAGTCTTACAGAACTAAGCCCCACACTTGAGTCTCGGGCGTTTTGCTAAAGCCACGCCTCGTGGCATGCCCCAGGCGAAACCTAACAGAGTTTTGTCCAACACTGCTTATATATATTTTTACAAAAATGTGTTTAATACACTGAGTTTCAGAATTATGACGACCATATATAGTACTTGGAGCCTGTTTGACATTGTTGTTGGCAAATCCTTAAAATTGTTTTTAAATAGAAGAAGCATTTTTTTCTGTTGTTGGGAAGAAACAAAAAATTTATGCTTCTTAAAAAAGCAGAAGCAGAAAATTCTTTTTTTGAAGACTAAAATATCCCCTTTATATATACATATTTACCAATATATCCCTTATTAATTAACTAGCATATCTCACAAGTTTGGTTACGTTTTTCATTCAAGAATTTAATTTTTTATTTTTTATGTAATAAATTTATATTTCATGTTTATTTGTTTATTTTATATTTTATATTTTATATTATATATTATTTTACGATTTATTTTACGGAATTAGAAACAAAGGTAACAATAATATTTTTGTAGGATAAAAAATACGAAGGAATTTATTTAGTGTTGTGTTGAATTTTTCGTATGGTGGTTTAATTTGTGGAAATATTTTTAAATTTATTTTTCTTAATATTTTTAATTATATTTAATTCATGTTAATATTATATTAATATTTTATTTATTTATTTATGTATGTATATATAATATTGACTGAAAATTTGAATATGTAAATTTTAATTTAATTAAAATAAAATTCAAAATTTGTAATTGATATATGAAATCATCTTAATATTAGAAGTACACTGATACTTACCCTTTTTCGTAATTTGACTCTCAAAAACACTTCTTACAAAAGATTAGCCAAACACAATTTGCTTATTAAAAACACTTATCAAATGAATTAGCCAAACACAAATTGTTTTTTTTTCAAAACACATTTTTAAAAAGCCATTTCAAAAAAGTATTTCTAAAAATAAACAATTTTTAGCACCAATACCAAACAGACTCTTAGTAACTTTTGTATCACCAGTCATGAAGTTAAGCTGCTTTTCTAATTTCTAGTTACTGAAATTTAGTTTAAACAATGTTAGATGAAAATCGAAGAGGACATCTTAATTCTTATACGATTGTTAGCGCGAATTATGCAAATTTGACAATTTTCTTAACCATTTTAGCTTGAAGAATAACCAATTTAATATTGAGTATTACGTTACTCTAAATCAATAGAACTTATCTTGGTGAAGTGATTTAATAAAAATAATAATATACATTGATTGATTAAGCAACATTCACTGAAATATTTGCTCTTGCATCCTTGATTATAGGTGACTCATCCCTGATTTTATGTATTTAATTAATAAAAATAATAATAATATACATTTATTTTATATTTTCCGTGGCTGGATTTTTTAGGTTTTAGTATAATGGAAGAGTTTCCTTCAATATGAACAATCAAGATGTAAATGATTAAAGAATAAGACTTACCCTTAGCATGTTGTTAATTAAGTCTAGTTTTGCTGTCAACCGTGAATTCTTAAAGTTGAAATATAGCAGGACTACTTCAGCTAAAAGATTTAATATTAATACATTAAGGAATTAATAAATAAATAAATTAAAGGACTAGGAAAAAGAGAACAGCTTGCCGCCAGCACACTACTATTAATTAAGTTTTCTTATTATCAATGATTGCACAGCTATAATTATTATAAAACTGGAGATTTTCTCTAATGAGTATGAAGATATATCATGACCACATCAACTTTCAAGATATTCAGCTACTATATGATTCTGAATCCAGAAAAATTAAGGGTCCGAACTCTAGTTAAATGAGCTTGAACTTGTTCTTCATACTTTACTATTTGAAAAATTATAATAAGTAAAAAAAGTATTAGTAATACTTTAGATAACTTAACGTGGAACAATTATCGAAGCAATATAGTAGTAAAATCTTGAAAACATCCATCTTGATTCTCTTTTTCTTGCCTTTGTCTAATTAAATTGATGAAATCCTTCCGAAAAAATTACTATTATGCGTGGTTGTGTATTAAAGTAGATGTCAAGAAATCAAACATAAAAATATGACATCAATGAGTTAACTTACAACAAAGTCGTTGTAGTATAGTGGTAAGTATTCCCGCCTGTCACGCGGGTGACCCGGGTTCGATCCCCGGCAACGGCGTTTCTTTTTAGGGAAAATTATACATAATGGCAAACTATTAATTCAAATTAAATGGTATAATCACACTTTGATTTAATTGTGTCCTGTAGCAAACTGTTTGCCAGCGCCTCTCTCGCTCGCCACTCTCCTCTCTCGCTCACTCTCTTTGTGCTCACCTCTCTCGCTTTATACAACAGAAGTATATAAATTGCGTTTCTGTTTGTATAAAGCGAGAGAAAATTGTATATACACATGCAAATACATATATATTCGTCCTATACGCTTATAATTATACAATAAAAAATATTCCCCTGCCCAGTTTTATGTTTGTATAATGTATAATTTATGTTTGTATAAAGCGAAAGAGAGCGATTTTTTATATACAAATATTTTTGTCAACGATTTATACAAACGAGAGGCTAACAACAATTTATACAAATGGTCTGCCAGCGAAATTATACAATTCTGAAGAGGAGCCAACGAATTATACAATTGATTCTTTTTGTATATATGTATAGTGAAACAGACAGCTTTCAATTGTATATGTATAGCAAATTATACATATATATGTTTGCTATGGAGCGCAATTATGCAAACTTTGCTATAACATACAAATATGATTTTTTTTGTTTGCTATATGTGAAAGTTGCTCTTCTTTTTAAGAACTGTTCTTCACTTTTCATAACGGGCCGAAAGGAGTTTGACCCAATTATGATGTGGCCCAAAAGCGAGTCCAACCCACTTACCTATCAAGACTTGTCCACTTGATATATAGGCCAGCCCGAAGCTTTCTGGACTAATAACAGAACACATAAGAAAGAGCCCTTGTTACAATTCAAAACATAACACACGTATAAAATCTAGAAATTTGTACGATTTAAGTTCATAAATCCAAAATTTTATATATGATTACTCTAGCTATTTGTATATACAAAATATTGTATACTTACATAAACGGGCAGATATATACGCAGCCAACATAACAAACGAAACTATAGTTATCAAAATGATAGCTATATAATCTTATTATGTCAAATTTTCTCAAAAATCTTACTCAAAAGTTAGGTTGCTCAAAATCAAATAATAATATCTCGATAAAGAACAATGTCTATCACGGCAAGGTCACTGCTCACGTGCAAACATGTCCTCCTTTCTACTGTACATAACAAAACTAGATTGGGCCAAAACTTAGCCCACATTTTCATACCCCACTTGAAACTTGTGTGGACTTCACAATCTAATTTAATCTCCATTGTCTCCTCATCTCCCATGTTTCCTTTTCTATGCCTTCTTTTTCTCTAGGTTATGGTCTACCTATTTTTAACAAAAAATATTAGCCACTCAAACGTTATTTACTACTCCATTTCTTAATTAAATTGGTACTCGCATCAATTTACGTGTTAAATTATATCTGTGGTATAACTTTGTCCATCAAAACAATTATTTTTTCTCTCGTGAATATTTGTCGCATCCTTTATAAAAATAAAAACAAAAACTTGTGGTTAGTATTTGACGAGTAAGCGATCTGATCTGTTCTCTCAACGTAACCTAGTATCAAGAACAGTTTCAAATTTGGAAATTAGAAAGACGCAGAGACAAAGACAAAGCAGTCATTATCCGGGCAGCTTCATAAGAACAACAAGAAAAAGACTTGTATTTGACTTTCTAATCAACTGATGTTACGTCTAGAATACTCAATAGATATTTCAACTATATTTAGCCTTAAAAACATATAATACTGTGGTTGATTTTTATTTTCGGTTACGGAATAAAGACAATGAAAAAGACCGTACGATTATAACAAAATTAATGGTGGTTAAATAAATAAATTTACACCTTGCCGTTGATTTTCTTTGGATTTTCCACCCGGTGTTTAGAGCCTGACTAAATCTCTATCGTGCACGACAGGGTTTATTCGCTTCCAACAGTCATACATAAGAGTTCAGACTCGAACACGAGATCTGAAAACCGCTTGCAATTGTTATCAAAACACAAAGTGATGGGTAACAAACACTAGACTAGTCATTGGAAGTGGAAGCTGCTTAATGAAAGTTATCAAAAGTAGCAAAAGACGGGGAACATGTTTTAATAATTTCCCTGTTAACGGTGACATGTTCCTAAATTAAGTTGAATTTGGTTGGAATGAAAGTTATCATCTACTAATTTAATATAAATTTGTATATTTTTGTGTCCCCTGCCTCTCTGAAAGATTTGAATAACTTTTTTATATATATTTTACTCCAATAGAATATAGTTGATCGTGTTGGTTGTTGACCATAGTGTACTAGTAGAGCAGTTTAACCTGTGACTCTTTGACTATTGTGTTCCTAAATTGCCAATAATTGAAGGGTTAGAAAAGGGGAATTTTTCTAAATACACAATGATAAAAGAATTGATAATTAGAAAAATCTTTTAAAGATATCATTAATTGGAAAAAAAAAAAGAAAAAAAAGAGGTCCCAGTTTAAAGTTAATGTGTGGCTCGTTTTAGGTGAATATTGCATGTGTTGGACCACATGTACACTTAGTTATAGTAGAGTACTCCTTCACTATAAGAAGACCTTTAATTTCCTTCTTCCACTTGTTGAAATATAAGATTCTTCCAATCTTGAAGTACTTGTTTAAATCTAGCTACAATTTGCTTCTCATTGTTGATCATATTTTGTGTACAGTAGAGATGATGAAGGGAAAAAATGGAGCTAACTTAAAGTTAAAGAAGAGGATATGCAGTGGAAAACTTGGGAGGTTTCTAAAAGAGCAGAGAGGAAGGCTATACATTGTGAGAAGATGTGTAGTTATGCTACTTTGTTGGCATGATTAATTGCACACCTATAATTGTAAATAGCAAGGAGAAACAATAATATTAAGTTCATTAGAGCAATATAATTATAGTTGGTAAATTGATCATCTAGTATTTGCGTTTCAAATATGAATTTAATTATTGTGTACCGATGCTTTCTTCTTAACTTGATTTGTTATGCATGTTAAACTTTATCAGCTACTTAATTTATTTTCCTCTTTTCTCTTTTTCTTTGCTAGAACTTATAATTTCCCCTAGCTTCTACTTTGCATTTTCTTATTGGAGTTTTTTGAGACTAATTGATATGGTAATAATAGGTGCGGATACACTGGTTGCAATTGAAATTCATAAAATCTATTATCGTTCAGTGTTACTACTTTGCTAGCTAGAGGCGTGCTTATTTCTTTAATTTAATTTATTCTTGAAAATGTATAAATTAAATTAGTCTTAATTACTAAAATCTTTTTTTTCCCTTGACTCCCAACTTCCAAGTTCGCAAGAAGCATAACAACGTTGGATCCTGAAATTATTCACTTTTTCAAATTATTGGCATCGCAATTTTATTGCATGCATTTTACTATTGGGCAGTTGGCATAAGCCTTGATATTGCACATTAAACAATAATAACATAATCTTTTATCTATAAATTAAATAACGCATGCATGCACCATAAGATCAAATCTTGTATTACTCAACTAATTCTATGACAATATATAGGATACACAAGTTCGAGCTCAAGAGAGATTTGTATATAACACAACCCCCATTTGTATAATCGTTCAGTCGTCATACATATATATATATATAATATTTATGATATTCATGGTATTTATTTATTAGATATAAGAATCAATGTTTAAGGATCAACCATATAATGTTTCTGTCATTAGTTGGATCAATAAATAATATCATGTAGAGTATATTATTCTATTTTTATACAAATTTACATCAATCTTATAATATTTGTTAATTTATATCATTAAAACGATCTAGCTTTGTATTTTTCCTGTAATACTCCTAATCCATACTCTATGATATCGTTTTCCTCAAAATTTCATATGTGAGTGATATGACACATAAATAATAACTGGATCGATTGCAAAAAAAGATAGATGTAGTGGAGTTATCATTCTTATTTTCCAATTAAGAATGTATTTGGATTAATGGCTTGCTGCACCCCCACTGCCGTACGCTCTTTCAAACAAAAAAAAATGTTAGGAAAAGACATGTGGACACTGGTCTACATACTACATAGTCACGTTGGAAAAACACGATAAATGTTATCACTAATAATCCGTCTTTTCCTTTGGACTCATTATTTCATGTCACATTCTTCTAATTGAGCCCTTTACTATTAGAAATAATAGAGCTTGAAACTAATATTAAAAAAAAACTGAATATATAGTAGGTACTCGAAGAGTTTAGTGTGTGTGTTTGGTAGTATTTTCTTTAGTCAAATAATTGAAAAATATTTTTAAAATAAGAAAGGTGAGGACTCTGCAAAAAATGTGCTCCTTGGCATGTTCTTTGACACGATATAAAGCTATCAAGTTTAGGTATATTACTATGAGAACAAAGAAATGATATTGAAGTCTGCCAACTTTGAGAAAGATGATCCAAATTTTGGCATTGTTTAGGCAACACAAGTAGTAACAAATATCTTTCAAAATTGGATTTTACTGTGTCATATGGAATCTAGCTTAGGAGTATTAATTTACACGTACGTGTGTGGCTTGTTTAATTTTCTATAGATAAGTCAAGATCACACAGTATTACTACTGTTTCTTTTGGTCCAGAATAGAAAACTCTCCAATTCCCCTGCTAGTAATAAAACTGAAAAGGATCTACAGCTCCAAAAACCCCTGTAAATTTCGTTGTTACGTAACAATGAAAACCCCTATTTTATGGAACAACCGATTTGGTGTGTTTCCATTGTTACTTAATTTCTTTTTCCAATTATATCTTTACATAATATTTCAAAATACTATTTTACCCTTTACCTTATATTATTTAATTCTAGTCAAACCTCCTAACCTAGAATAATTAAGGATACAATACAATACATTATGAAACAATGGGTAACAATGATCCAAACAGAGTGTAAAGTGATCCCATAAATGCTCTATTGAAAATGAGCTTCTTTGTTGAATGTTTATTATTTTCGGTTATTTTTAAGTACATTGTATTATTTGTTTAATAATTTATATGTTTGCATTTTTTATTTTTGTGAAGGTTAATTGTAGTTATATCCCATTATCCCTAATCTATAATTTATAGTGGAATTAACATAAATTTAATTTATTTTTATTTTTTTGGTTTGATTTCCCACCCGGTGTCCGGAGCCCACATTGGAGCTCCAACTAAATCCGGATCGCGCACTGCAGGGACTATTCGGGGGTGGCGCTCCCAACAGGATTTTCTCCATACCCAGGGCTCAAACCCGAGACCTCTGGGTTAAGGGTGAAGCACTCCCACCAGTGCACCACAACCCATGTTGGTAACATAAATTAAATTTTAAAAAATAGTCATATATAGAAAAATTAATTTATAAAGAAAGATAACTTTTATATCTAAAATTAATATTATAAAAATAATTAAATATACAAGAGATTTAATTAAAACATACAAATTATATAATGTTTAATTAAAAGTTTTGTATAATAAAATAATATTAAATTATTCAATAAAGTTAATTGGTGTGATGAATAGTGTTACATCAAATTTGGTGCAACGCTATTCACACACAAAATGATATAAAATTTGGTGTTGAATTGGAGATGGTCAAATAATTCGGGAATAAAATATTTTTTCTTGTCGATCATATATCATTACTAATAAGCCAAACGACTATATTTTTTCTTTTATAATTTTAAAATTTTCAGTTTCAATTCCAGGTGCATGAGTCAATTTATTACAATCTTCTTCTTTACGGATATAGATTATTATGATATCAAGGATAATTAATGTTTAATGAATAGTTTATAAAATAGCCAGCAATTATATAGTTAAGTATACATAATCATTATGCATATTTTATGTATTTCAATCATAGTAAATTTAATCAAACTGTAAATAAATTTAACCAAAAGAAAAATATTGGATATTATTTTGTTGCGGACAGCAGCCACGTGCGACAGCCTCCACATTTCAATCTAATTATGATGTTAGTCCCATTTATAAGAATTGGGCTTTGCTTTATAGGGATGGCCCGCTAAGGAACGCTGGGCTAATATACCGCGGGCCCATCCACTGCCTGAAATCAAGCAATCCGTCCCTTCCCTCTTAATTATTAAATTTTTTTTATCTAAATATACAACTTATTATACCATACTTTCTAAAGGAAAAAATTTACGCATAATGACAAACATTAGTAGCATATTAGTCAATGAAACTATAGTTTCACAAAATTACTATTCACGGGTATAGTTTAATAAAACTTGCTATGAATTGCAGGACCCATAAATGGTTTGTATTTGGAAACAAAAGATACACTCGACGGATTTGTATACAGTTTTATACAAATCTAACTTATGTCTCCTCCCTCCTCTCTTCACTCACTGATTTTCTCCTATATCTCACATCCATATTAATTTTGAATTTTGAATTCGATTTTCTCCAACCTAGTCGTGGCATCACAATTCAAGATAATTGCCCAAACATGTTTAATATTTTTTTATTTTTCTGTTTGTATACGATTTCTATTTGTCTAATCTTTTTTATAATATTACATTTTGAGTCTTCATTTTAGGAGCTATGCGGTCCACTTTGTGAATGCCAATTTGGTTAAAGATTGTGGCACATAGAGTTTCCAGCAACGGGAAATATTTAGTACTTGCAGGGCCGTTTACAAAATTTAGAGCAATTGAAGGGAAGAGGTTGAATCAAGAGTTAAGATCCAAGCACAAAAACGCTTCAAGTGTTATGCAACAAATTATCAAATCAAGAATTTAGTGCGCGATCCGAATTTATTCGGAGCTCTAATGTGGACTTCCGGACACCGGACGGAAAACCAAAAATAAAAATAAAAAAACTAAAAATTAGATTTTCAGTAACCTTCATTCCAATCAATTATTTAGATTTATAATAGTATTCCTTTGGAAACTCTGCCTACGTCAGTATTTAATATTTCCTGACTTATATTATTTATAGCTATTATGTTTACATAATTAATAATCATAAATGGACCTGAATAATTAGGCAAGATCCTTCCCGTTGGATATAATTCGTTACTTGAATGATTAGATCTTATGAAATTATATTGAATATTTGACGTACTAACCATATTAACAATTTTTTATGATGCGTAAATTAAGATCTTACTTTTTATTCCTTTAATTATATTCGAGTGGTGTTATTTCACGAAAAACAAGTATGAAAAAAGAAATTTATTGTTTCACAAAGATTTGGAATAGTAGCCCCTAATTCAAGAGTAGATAATAATATTTATTTGGCGAAATTTCGCAAATAGCCACTATAATAAACTTACTTAGTCTCCTTAACTTTAGTTTGCATATTTACGGGTCTTAGTTATAACTTATTTGTTTGTATAATTCGTCACTTGTTTGTATAATTCGAAGGTACAATTACATACTTCGCGTGTATTTGTATAATTGAGTTATTTTCGTCTGTATTTGTATAAGTATAATTATGTTGGTAGACGTTTGTAGTTATATATTCTGCTTAAGTAAAATATAGAAATATACCATAAGAATAACTATAATTAATGATTTATACAAATGTGGGTACAACTGTAGATCTAATATTGGATTTGTTTTTCGGAGTAATACAAATTCTGAAATTGTACAAATATGATAAACTTTGAAATACGAATTTATACAAGCACAAACACAAACATCTGAACTTTAAACGGTTATACAAATTATACTATACAAATTACATTATACAAAAGTTATACAAATTTCGAAAAGTATAGGTTTATACGAACTTTAAAAAGTTACACAAAAAAGATTGAATGTGTTCGATGATAAAACTGAAAAATCAAAGGAAATCACTGTCATTTACGAATACAAACCATCATCTACAAATACAAATCAAACGAAGAATTGTTAGTGGTGAATTATACAAATTTGACGAACTATACAAACTCGAACCGAAGCCACATAATTAAGGCTAAATATTAATGAGGCCCATAAGGTGTTGCATTTAAATCTGTAAAC